GTTCTCTTAAAAGATAAAATATTCAAATGCAAGTTTAAAATTCAGTTGGATAAAAGATCAACGAGGTTCAGATTCAAAACATTTTATTCCGCTTTCATGTTTCGGTCAAAGACGGTTTGCCATGATAATGCGGTAGACAGATAGCGATCATATAGTTAATGTCTGAAATCATAACTACGGAATAAAATGTTTATTCCAATCTTAACGTCTGTATTCGGTTTTTCTTTGTATTGTTCGCTTCGGAATCATTGGCAATTTATGATAACTTAAGACATATCGACTTTTTAATTGTTCACCGTACAAAAATAAGTATCTCCTTCGAAAGTAACTGCGCTTTGAATAGTGGTTTTGTTTGTTGTAACCTTTCATTGCGTGTGCAATCGTAAATATGCTCTGGGGTGTAACAAAGCATCCCTGTGCCACATGTGTTCTGCAGAAGAGAGCAGCGAAGCAGGTCACTTTATTCTGGTCACTTTATTATTTATTGGTTATGGAATGTGGCAGGATGAAATCGACCGATGAGTCAAGCGGTCATCACAGTTTTGAGTGAACTAGCCTGAACTTTTGGACTAAGATAGTCTGTCTGACGATCAATTTGTCTGTATTCCAATCAAGTCTCATCCCCATCTCATCAGTCGTCGATGAAGACAGAAAAAAAAGTCGGTTCTTGATCCAAACGGTTGAAATAGGCATTCTGAAACGAGCGGCAGAGACGAGGCGTCCCAACATATTTCGAAATCTACTGAAGATATGATAATAGGCCTTGCTATACAGCGACTACTTATCTAAAATGAAAAGATATACCTGCCAGGGTTTGGGCAGGTTTTTCGAATTTTTTTCCGAATGGGAAAGGGAAGAGCCGGAGTTTCGCTCACCGTTTCGCCACATTTGTCCGGAGACGACTGCGAAAAATTTGGGTCAAGTGCCCCGGTGGACTCTCCTACAGCCATGGGTTGTCTTCTGCTGAAATTTAAGAACTGACGCAAAATCATTTAAGTTGAAAACATTGTCTCACGCTATCATTTATGCTATCCAAAAGGATAAGATATAAGATTTTAGCCGCCTATCGGTCCGTTAGTTGTCTGGTAGATATTGAAAAACTTAATAGCAACTCAGATGGATTACATGTTTTAGCAATTTATGACTGATGGATATGACTTGCCTAAATGATATCATCAAATTTGTTGAGGAATTGGCCTGGTGGCACAAATCTCCATATCCATTCTGTTTCTTCCTAGGGAAACCGGGAAAGTTATTGTATTTTTTGAGTCAAACTAACGGTCGTGTATTTATTCCCAGGGTAGCGATGAGTTTCATATTGAGTATACTCTATGTACATCTGTAATTAACAGTTCGCGCGGAATTCGTGCATTCTTCATCACATCAATATTATGTGTACTGTCTTTGATAGGTGAATGAATGATAAGAACCTATTGTAATTGGCACAGGAACCGATGTGAGTTTTGCGACTCACAACATGAGCATTTTAATTTGCACAAATATTTAATTTTTGGAAATAAAGAAGTCTCACGTTTTGCAGAACGTCTAGAGTTTACAAAACTATGGAAAAAACCAGT